TATAATAATTTATAAAGTAGTTAATTATTTTGTAGTAGGGATCACTTTTAGAAATGTAAGTGAATTACACGTGTATAAATTATGATTATATATTTTTTGTAACATTTCAGAATCACATTTGCATATAAACATATATTTTTATATATCAAGAAAACAACTTTTCCACATTTGATCCCAAATGTATACAAAAACTATAATACAAAAATAACTACTAAATTTTTCCAAGTAACTAAGTACAAAACTTGTATACATAACAAATATTCAAATATAAACGGTAACACATCTTCCCAACGTCCTATTCAATCAAATATAAATTCTTCAAAATTTCCTCTTCCCTGTATCGTCTGATTGTGCCCGACCTGCAATATACATTTTTAAAACATCAAAATGAGGGTTAGACTTTGAGGTCTAGTGAAAAATCTCTTTTATTGCTATTACAAGGTGAAAATCATCATAACAATTTTTATAAAATATTTAATTGTATAAATAACAAATATACAACATTTTATCGGACAAACCTCTTTTTATCGCATCAATATAATGAGACAACACCCACTTATCGCATCAACCAATGAAGTAACCCATTTATCCCATCACATATAAATTTGTCGCATTTAAATAAATAAGTCATAAAGTTGTCACATCCAACAGATGTGATAACAGTAACTTCTCGCATCATACATAAGAGATAAACCACACTTGTTGCATCCAACAGATGCGATAACTGTAACTTGTCGCACCATATAGATGCGATAACCACAACATATCTCAGCACAATAATGCGATAACTAACACTTCATTTTTATCCCAATTTCATCGCATAACACTCATGCGATAAAACCATTCTCATCGCATCACAAGGATGCGATAACATAGTCCCATGATAAAAAAGATCATCATTTTTCCAGAATTTGATTATGCCACCCTTATCTCAGTATACTCAGCTCTTGATTATGCCACCCTTATTACAAAGATATATCCAACTCCCGATGATGCTACCTTTATTACCAGAAATTACTCATCTCCTAATTATGACACCCTTATTACCAAATAATACTCAGCTCCTGATTATGTCGCCTCATTACAAACAGATGATAATATCATTATAAAACCCAATTTTTTTTGCATATAATCATCAATTACTCAATTTTGAAACCTTACAGGTTTTCACCAAAAAGTAAGAAAATGATGTTTTATAAATAAAACTCACCTTATGATCACAATTAAATGAAGACAACAATAACAATAACAATTTATCATATTCACAGTCACATAAACAATTTCTTCTAATCTCCCTTGAGTTCTGTTTTTCTTTCTCGGCTCAGTACACACACCAGAGCTCACTTGCTTTTACTTCTTTTTTTTCTTTTCTTTTTTTATCCCAATGAGATAAAACATTATCTCATAACATAAAAATCACCTAATAACAACCACAAGGGTGGTGTCTGATTGGTTTGAGCTTGGCTCCAAAGGTCAAAAGTACCAGGAGGTCACAGGTTCAAATCTAAGGAAGAATAAAAATCCCCCTGTGGCCACGAAGATTCAAATACGATAACTTCGGGCTATCTACAAAATAAGTGGTCGTTCTGGAATTAATCGGCTCGCATAGCATATTGGATATCAGGTTAATAAAAAAAATCGCCTAATAACAAGAGGGGGTGGATAGTTTTTAAATCAATTAAGCATATTAACAAATCAGCCCTTTAACTTATCACCATTAATAAAAAAAACAACCTCAAACTTTTATAACCGATAATCCGGTTATCATATTTTTACATATCATAATTATCAATAATATAAATTTAAGGCCGCAATTTTTATATGTTGAGGTATCTTTTATGCATTTATCTAATAATAATAATAATAATAATAATAATAATAATAATAATATATGTTTTGATATATCAAATAAAATATTATATTTTACGTTAGAAAATATGAAAAACAATGGTACAAAATGGTTTTATTCCTATTTTAGAACAAATTAACTTTTAATTATAATAATGAAAAATTAAATTAACGATCATATATCAAAATGTTAAAAAACACAAAATTATAGATAAACTTTATTGAAATGTTATTTATATCAGAGTAAATTACATACTGGTTTACGTTTTGTTGATTATTTTTTGGACTTTTTGGCTCATGCCACTAACTTCATTCTCCTTCTTTTCGTTAGCTCCTGTGACTTGTATAGCTCCTTCGACTATTGAAATGTCATTTTTTTTTGTCAAACAAGATTCATCTTTTAACAATTCAAATATTACATCTTAATGAAACTATTATGAAGTAAACAAACAGCCCATTTTTCTAACGTGATTAGTCTCACGGACAAAAATAAAAACAAAATTGAACCGAAATTGACATAAGAAAATATTTTAAAAACCATAGGGACTAAAACAGTAAGAGAAAGAAAAGCATAGGGAGTAAAATTGTAGTTTAGTCTATTTGTTTTTAAAGTAAATCCAGCAAGTAAATCTTTGGTAGGAAAAGGAAGTAATGGTGACGGCTAAGAAAGTAGGGTGTCACAGCAACTGCCGTCTAATCGCCGTCAAAGCAACCTCTTAGCCTCTTCGCTAGTCAAACACCTACTCCTCTCCTCCTCAGTCCTGCGCATAACCTCCGTTAATTCCCCGTTCCATTTCCGTACTATCCGTTTCACCACCGAATTTCCAATTTTAATTTGAATCCGAGTTTAAGTGAAACTCGTAGGCTCGTGCATGTGGTGGGGTTCGGGTACGCAAATTAAAAACCCGATCGGATTTCGGAAATAAAAACCAATACCTGAATTTTAGGTTTCGAATTTTAAATTGCTTTGAGTTCAGGTTGGTTGGGTTTCGGATTAAGGTCGGTCAGGTTCGATATAATTGTAAATGGAAAAGGTATGCATATTCAATTTATTTGGAGGATGATTGATGAAATCGAGAGTAGGTTTAGAAATTAGAAAACATTTTGACCGACTAGAATTTAGAGATTTTTAAAAGATAATTAAGATAAATAAATATTTATATAATATTTAAAATATATATATATATATATCTATACTACATTAATAAGCATTTAGACCAAATGTCTTAATTACAAGTCTTAAAGCATAAAGTACTATCAATTTATGTAAGAGATTCAAAAATCTCTTAAGTACAAACTATTATGCATAATGTACAAATGCTTAAAACATACCATTTGTTCGGTCAAAGTTTCATATTTAAGTAAGTCGTATTTACATGAAAAAGATATGTTTGGTCTTCCCAAAGTTGTTTGACATTTTGTTTGTTTCTTGTTTTGAACCTAAATTCAAATTCAAAGTTTTTCTTTCTCTTGAAGTAAACTGAAATTTGAAGCAATAATATCAGAAAGGGTTTCAGATCCTGCATGTGCCCCACCCCAACCCTTCAACTTTATATGAGTTTAGAAATTCAACATGTGTGTAATTATTTTTCCGATCGATCTTGCTAATACACCATATTAACTTTCAACTTTATATATTAGTTGACTTGTAAAATAACCACACAAACTCATGATTCAAGGCTAAACTAATGTTTGAAAATTGTGATACATCCGCGCTGCATCGTGCATTCATATCTACTAATTTCTTTCTCATATGTATCTATATCAGATGCTATTTCTTATATTTCTATGATTTAACTTAATTCTGAAATTAAAAAGGAGTGATACACTTTTTCACCCATCTTTTTATAAGATGATAAATCTATACTATATTAAATATTATTGAAAATCATTTTTTATGCATGATGTACTGTTTATTGATGTACTAGAAGAGTACTCGTGCAATGCAGAGAGATACATCTCGATTTTAATGTTCTATTTTATTATTTGTCTCTGTCGATGTTATATACAATGTTATGTGTTTTTAATAAAACAATAATGATTTTATATTTGAATAAAATATAAATTTGAAAATATCATAAAAATTTGAAAAAAAATATATCATATCAAATCAACTATTTAAAAGTTCTCATTTTTATATAATTTCGTTAATTATTTTTATTATAATTTAATTTAAGTTTAATGAAAAAATTATTTATTTTTGTTTTAATAATATAACATTTTATAAAGTTAATAATTATTCTGTTATAAGTATAACTCAATGATTATCTTAATTATATTTTAAATTTTTTATATTTAAAATGAGATRTTTATCCTGTATTTGATTATGTTTATCTGCAGTTAGTCATATGAATTCATATATAAAGTTTTAATAAGTTGTACTTACCCACAATCTACTTGTAATCTTGAGTTTTAAGTAACATACATTAACAAACAATATTTTATGCATAAAAAAAATGATTTTTAAGAGTTTTTGTCAAATGCTTTATAATATAGTATATATATTACTTAAAATTCGAGGTTACAAGTAAATTGTACGTAAGTACAACTTATTAAACTCCATGTTTGAATTCGTGTAACTAACTTTAAATAAACATATCAATTACAATAAAAATCTCATTTTAAATATAAAAAATCTAAGATAATTAGGATAACCATTGAGTTATACTTATAACATAATATTTAATTATTATACTTATAAAAATTATATTATTAAATCAAAAAATATTTTAAATAGTTAATTTGATATTAATATTGTTATATTTTTTTTCCAGATTTTTATGAATAAAAACATTAACGTTTTCTCAAAATCACATAAAATATATTATATCGACAGAGACAAAAAAATAAAACGAAACATTATCTTAATATATCTTGTTGTATTGCACGAATAATAAAACAAGTATACTAACATTAAAAATGTATTGCGAACGTGAAGGGATAAATACCAGATGTTGTGTGTTTGCAGATGGTCCGCGATGATTTCTTGATTTAATATCCAGATCGATATGAATACTCGTCAGAGATTCTTACAATTTTTTCTACGCCCGTATTATTACTCCTTTTCTACTCTTGGTGGCCTATAATAACACTACCACCACCCTCATCACCTCTCTTCTATTCTATCTATGCCTTTCTGCTTCCATTGAAACATGAACCTTCTTTTTCACCTTTTCTTCGTCTTCCTTCTTCGTTTCTCAAATGGGTTTTCAGATCTTGATGCACTCTTGAAGCTCAAAGCTTCAATGGTGGTGCCACCGGCCAGGTCTGGATTGGATGACTGGAAACCACCTCAATTTAACTCCATTGTTCCCGATTCACATTGTAAGTTTTCAGGAGTTTCCTGTGATGAAAACTCTCGTGTCACGTCGTTGATCATCTCCAATGTTCCTCTTTATGGTACCATCCCGCCGGAGATTGGGATTTTGAACAAGCTTGTTAATCTCACTCTTGTGTCTGGCAAACTCACCGGTGAACTTCCGGTGGAGATGTGTAACCTCACTTCCATTAGGTTTATTAACTTCTCTGCTAATTCATTGACTGGAGTGTTTCCCGGTGATATCGTGGCTGCCATGACCGAACTTCAAGTCTTCGATATTTATAATAATAATTTCAGCGGGAAGTTGCCGTTGGAGTTTGTGAAGTTAAGTCATCTGAAAACGCTTTTTCTCGGTGGTAATTATTTCTCCGGGGAGATTCCGGAGGCTTACTCGGAGTTTCGGAGTTTACAGAGTCTCGGATTGCAAGGAAACGGACTCTCCGGCGGCATTCCGTGGAGTTTGTCGAGGTTATCGACGCTTGAGGAGCTTTGGCTCGGATACTACAACAGCTATGACGGTGGAATTCCACCGGAATTTGGATCGTTCAAATCGTTAAAACTTCTTGATATCGGAGGTAGTAATCTCTCCGGTGAGATACCGGAGAGCCTCGGGAATTTGAAAATGTTACATACACTGTTTCTTCAATTCAACAATTTCACCGGCGAAATACCGCCAACACTGGCAGGGTTGACCAGTTTGAAGTCGCTTGATCTCTCTAACAATAATCTCACCGGAGGAATACCGGAGAGTTTTTCAGAATTGAAGAATTTGACGTTGTTGAAYCTGTTYCWCAACCATCTCGCCGGTCCTCTTCCTCCGTTCATCGGGGATCTCCCGAATCTGGAGGTGCTTCAGTTATGGGAGAACAATTTCACGTTTTCACTACCGGAGAATCTTGGCCGGAACGGCAAGCTTCTTAAACTCGACGTCACCGGAAACCATTTGACCGGAACAATTCCAGAAGATTTATGCAAAGGAGGTATTATATTATTGTGCATTGGTTTGTCATTTTCAACTTTTTTTGTATTTATTATGAAAAATATTTAATTTAATCTCATCTCATACATGTATATATATATATAGATGAGTTATTATATAACACTTAAGTTTGTATAACCAATACAATTCAATATTGACCATTCTTTTAATTTAATGAATATATAATTTCATAAAAAGTTTTGATTGTTTTTCGATACAAAATATTGATTATAATTAATAAATTTTATTAATTTTTTATAAATATTTAAATTATAATAAATAATTTTTATTATTATTTTTATAAGTATTTTAATTTATTGGGTTGCTGGTTTTACAAATATGATGTATTTATTTGAAACTAACGAACATGAAAATTTTATTATTTTTACCCAAGTTTTGACTACAATAAATGTTCATCTGTACAAGTTACCTATGCGTCAACGTACAAATCAGTAATGCAAGGATAGAATTGACTTGTTTGACTAACGTCATTAACGTCAGGGAAGCTACGAACTTTGATTCTAATGGAAAATTACTTCTTCGGTCCGTTACCGGTAAAGCTCGGAAGCTGCAAGTCGTTAACAAAGATTCGAATCATGAAGAATTTCTTCAACGGGACTATTCCTGCCGGAATCTTTAACTTGCCGGCGCTCACCATGCTTGAGCTTGACGACAACTATTTCAGCTGTGAACTTCCGGCGGAAATGTACAGCGAGTCTCTTCAAAGTGTTTCGATATCTAACAACTGGATCACCGGAAAAATACCTCCGGCGATTGGTGGTTTGGTGAATCTAACAACTCTCTCTCTCGAATCAAATAATTTATTCGGTGGAATTCCGAAGGAGTTATTTAATCTGAAAAAGCTGTATAAGATTAACGTCAGTGGCAACAATCTCACCGGTGTGATTCCGGCTTCCATTGGATCCTGTTCGGAGTTAACTTCGATCGATTTCAGTCTTAATGGCTTGTACGGTGAAATTCCCAGAGGAATTCTGAGTTTGCTAAACTTGAACATCCTCAACGTCTCTCGTAACCAACTGATCGGTGAGATTCCGAGCAAATTAGGTCACATGAAGAGCTTGACGGTGTTGGATCTTTCGTTCAATCAGTTCTCCGGCAGAGTCCCCTCCGATGGACAACTAAAGGATTTCAATGATACGATCTTCGCTGGAAATCCTAACCTCTGTTCACCACACGTTCTTCACTGCCCAGCCAAATCGAAGTTCGAAAGTCGTTCGATCGCCAAATCAAAACTCCTTATCCCAATTTTCGCCATAATTGCAATCATGTTAGTAATCACAGCCATATTTCTCCGAATTCGAAAGAATAAACTCATTGAGAAATCCAAAATGTGGAAACTAACTGCATTTCAAAGGTTAGATTTCAAAGTCGAAGATGTTCTTGGTTGCTTGATAGACGAGAACATAATCGGAAAAGGTGGAGCCGGGGTCGTTTACCGTGGCTCGATGCCAAATGGTGTTGATGTTGCAATCAAACGATTGATCGGCCGAAACCATGGATTTGACGCCGAGATCCAAACGTTAGGAAGAATCAAGCACCGGAACATCGTGAGATTACTCGGTTACGCATCAAATTGTGAAACCAATCTACTTCTTTATGAATACATGTCTCACGGGAGTTTGGGCGAGATTTTGCACGGATCGAAAGGAGCACATTTGCAATGGGAAACGAGGTACAAAATTGCAGTGGAGGCCGCCAAGGGATTGTGTTATCTCCACCACGACTGCTCGCCATTGATCATCCATCGAGACGTGAAATCGAACAACATTCTGTTGGATTCAGATTATGAAGCCCATGTTGCTGATTTTGGGCTGGCCAAGTTCTTGAGAGATGCTGGTGCTTCTGAATGCATGTCTTCTATTGCTGGATCATATGGGTATATTGCACCAGGTACATGTCTTTAATGCATATTCTTAGATTTCTTGTTTCATATTCATATCAACTGCTGTATAGGTACTGTTTTTGAAGCTCAGAGTACAACTTTTAAAGCATCTTTAAGTACAACATAATGTGCATTTAACCATGAACCATGTCTTATTGGAGTCTTAGGGGCCATTTACCACACACTTAACCGGTAAGCGCTTACCAGTGAAATTCAGCACTATCATTTACTTATCGCGTAAGATTTTAGTTTACAAAAACGACATTGTATGCAACAATTTACCCGGTAAGCACCTACCATGGTATGCATTAGGTGAGGTAAACTAGGAATAGTTGATTCAAGATTTGGGAAATGCAAGTACACCATGGTACAATTCTTTGATGCAATAGATCCTGCAAAATTCTCACCTGTCTCCATAAATGTACCCAAACAAATCATTTAATATGGATATCAGTAGCTGTACTTTATGCAGCAGATCAAGTAGATTATGCATCAATAGTTGTACTTTGTGCATCAACAATTGTACATTGCTCAAAAAGTTCTTACAAAGTTGTTTATGATAACAGAGTATGCATACACACTGAAAGTGGATGAAAAAAGTGATGTCTACAGTTTTGGAGTTGTACTTCTTGAACTAACCACTGGTAAAAAGCCGGTGGGGGAGTTTGGTGACGGGGTGGACATTGTGAGGTGGGTCCGAGAGACGATCTCGGAGATCTCTCAACTGTCGGATGCCGCTGCCGTGATGTCGGTGTTGGATTCTAGGCTCAATGGGTATGTTCTGTCGAGCGTTGTGGATATGTTCAAGATAGCAATGATGTGTGTGGAGGATGAGAGCACAGCTCGACCCACCATGAGGGAAGTTGTTCACATGCTAACGAACCCTCCCGCGCATCAGCCGTGTGTAATCGCTCGTTGAACGAACCACTTTGATTGTACAGGAGCGACTTCTTGTGTGTTGGGATGAATAAACATTGGGTGAAATCAAATGTACAACTTTTATTGCATTGAGTACAAGTCTCTTCCATGAATTACTACTTTTGTTACTTGATAAATGTAACAGTTACGGGCTAAAGATCTTCCATGTTTCCAATAATGGGCCAAACACTTCCAAATTCACCCCCCTAAAAGCCCATGTCCACATTTAAATTGATTTTCAAGATTATTTCGGTTCAAATGTAGATTGATAAGGGGGTGTTTGAGATTGCTTATAAAAATAACTTATTGGCTTATTCTGGTGTGATATCGGAAATAAGCACTTTTGAGTGTTTGGATAAACAACTTATACTGGTGTCAAATTGGTAATAAGAAGTCTTTGAAAAAGTTAAACATTTCTGACTTATGATAAGTTGATAAAAACTTTTGTAGAAAAGCATAACTTGTTTCAAATAAACAATCTTAAACACCCTTTAAATTACATTTTTTTGTTCTTTTGATTTGTTAAAAATTACGGTTTTCATCCTTGTGGTTTAGAAATCATATTTGTCCTTATGGTTTGAAATTTATTGCTATTTTTATCCATGAATTAGTTTTTATCTTTACAAGTACAAGAGATTGAAACCACAATAAATTATAAATCATAAAGACGAAAATAGTAATGATTTAGAAACTATGAGGACGAAAACCATAATATATAAACCACAAGAACAAAAATCGCAACTTTTAACAAACAACATGGACGAAAAACGAAATTTACTCTTATAGAAAATTTAAAAGATTTGGGAAAAGTTTTGTTTCAAGAGCTATGATAAACTCTTCCAGAAAAAGAAAAGAGAGAATGACTGAAATCTCTAAATTTAGAAAAAAAAAATAGAAAACATAACATACTTGTTGGAGCATTTACTCTCATTTGAAAGACATAACTCTTGGAGCATTTAATCTCAACTAAAGATTTGGAGCAGTAGTTCAAGTGTTTCATATTTAATTTTCAACTACGTTTATGTCCATTGTATGCGCACTAAGGGCAATAGTTTTAGTAAACTTCAATTCAAGTATTTCTTATGCATTTCTCTTCTTCTTCTATGTTCTATAATTTTATTATGAGCTAATCACCCCTTTTGGGTGTGGGTGTGACTCAACTTAAGAACTTGAAAGCACACTTGGGTGTTGCCATTATTATTAATTCTTAAGTTTGGTCACTTTAAGTCGGGACTTAAACTCAACGCAAATAAGCCGATCATTTTGAAATATTAATATTAGATCCTTGATCCAGAGATGGATGGATTCAAAATACAGCTTAAGTGATGCACAAAGTTTTAAGAGAGTCTTTGATAATCACATAGAGATACAGATTTAACATGTTTTTAGCTAATGTTCAAATATTAGTCGAGATTTATACTACAAAGAGATTTGAGTATAAATCGTCAGGCTAGTGGAACTAAATATTTTTTTATCACATAGCTAATTCGGCAAGCTTAAAATTGACAAAAGTGGGCACTTTGTGGGCATTCTGTGGGCACAATACATAAAAATTCACTTTCGAGAGAATGAAGTTTTTATAGAAGTCTCAAGAGTTTCTGACCATACTGTTCCTACAATCTTCTTAAGGGAAACTTATACCCATATCCATATCTTAAATTGAAAAGGTTTATTTCATATTCTAAGCTTTTTACCAACATAATTCACCTTTTATTCACAAAACCAAAACATGCTCAAGAAGTTCATGAAACTCTCTGATTCTCAGTAATCCAATCCATGTGAAAATGATCTTGGTACTATACCACTTTATTACTTGAAGAGACCATAGTATCGGCATGCACTTGCACCACCACTGTGAGGACTTTGTGTCCAATGTGTGAGCACTTATGATACCAAGCCGTCAGTGAGCCAGTTAACACTATTGGGTAACCGTTTGGTAAAAGGTCCGTTAATGTTGTTTCTTTTAGACGTCATAGCTTGATCATAATTTTACCGTAATGATGTGGCATTACTGATCATGGTAATTTTTATATATTATTTTTCCTTTATTTTCTTAATTTGCCTTCTATATTGACAAAAACTCGAACATGTATATCGTTCAACGCACTGCATAACACAATAACTACTAAATTCAGTAGATTTTAGTTATCAATAAAATTTATAAAATTATGAGAGAGCAATATTTATATAATTAATTGTAGTGTAAATTTTCTTTGTGGTGTAAATTGATCAATAATTGATTACCTAAAATCAATTAATTTTGATGTACTTATGGTCAATATTATCCACAATCTTACTTTAAATCTTAAAGTTATGGTGAAAACTTTAATTATGGTAAAATATTTCCGTACCTTAAAGTGATTTAAATGATTTAATAACATGTAATTTAATCTCTTGCTTCTTTTGGTCTAAAAGCTTTCTTGACTCCATATGTAATTTTTGTTATTCAAATATTTCATTTGTGTCTGTAGGTCAAGAAACTGGTTATGTTGTTTACTAAATTGGTCAAAAGCTGGGTTGATTTGTAGCAGTGGCAGATCCAGTAATTTAGGTAAAAAAATTTGAAGTCGAATAACATATTTGTTAGTCATGAAAGGGATGACAATAAACAAAAAGTAATTGTAGAAGGGGGGGGGGGGTTGAATACAATTACACGGACTTTTTTAACTTTTTAATTCTTATTGATGAATATTAAGAATTAACACACACGAATACAATAGATTGTTGCGAAAGATAGGAAAAGGATAACCTAACATAAACAATTTTACAAGGAGAAGAACTTACAAGAACAACACAAAGAGTTTTTGAAATGAAATGAAGAACACTAAGATTTTTTTCACAGACTAGAGAGTAAGGGAGAAGAAGAGAATAGTCGATTGCTTTGAGAATACACTAAGTAATCTTTCAAAAAGCCAATGGTGTGCATGGGAGATGCAAATTGTCTTTTATACTACCTTCATAATTAAATGCATGGGGACACTTGTCACTTGAGGATAAGAAGGCAGGGGTTGACTTGACCATTGTTGATATCTCATTTTTATCGTACACAGCGTGCATACAACACTGTTCATGCAGAGACAAACTTTTGCAAAGATATGGACAGTCTGTAGGAAGATCTTCTTTGGATGGATTAGTAGCTTCAAACAACTACTCACAAACATTTGGACCATGAAGATCTTCAATCTTGGGTCCATGAAGATCTTCAATATTCGGTCCATGAAGATCTTCCTTCAATCGGCTTGTAACTTCAAAATATTTTCAATTTTCATTTCAGCTACTCTGGAGTCTTGGTGTGTGTATTAGACAGTTGATCCACAACATCGAATCGGTGACCTTCTGTCTTCACATCGGCTAGTCTTCGATTTTGCTAATAGCTTAAGTATGTACTAAGATACCAATATACAAAGAAACCAATAACTATTAAACGTTGCTAAGGTAGAGGAACATATTAGTGGGTCATCACCAAGTCAATAGGTGACCCAACAATATTCATGTCAAAATGGTTTTTGGTCATTTTGTGATTTCTTTACTCTCATTAACAAGTCGGTTATTTTATAGATGTTGAAGTTTTATGCGTAAGTGCTATTATTTAAATAATCTTGCTTTTAAAAAATAGGTCTTTATTGGTTTTTGTGTGTGATCAACGTTATTTCCTAAATCCAAGTACTTTGAATTAATGTTATTCATGATAATTAGTTTACGGTTCGAAATAGTTTTTGAGTTTAAAGTGACGACAATTGAGTAGCTAATCACCATGACACACGTTTTCATTTAATACAATTAAACATGTATTTCAAACACAATATCATGTGAATATCGACAACATGACACCTGACTTATCTTTTTTTAGGTTTATCTTACAACTTTTAAAGCTTGTTGAGAGTACAAAAACATGTGCAAGAGGACGCGCAAGTTGGAGCTCGCCAAACAAGTCACACATAACAACGACAAAGGGGAAACGGGTTTGCATCCAAAGTACTTGGAGTTAGAATTATCATTCGTGAATGTTTTTAATGTGTAAAAGCCATTGTTGCATTCTGCTTAACAGTACGTACATAGAAAAGATATTCAAGAGAAAGCAGTAATACTTTACTTAGTTCTGCTTTCTTCAGTGATTAACAAGAACTCAAACATGTAAATAGTTCAAGTGTATCATACAATTCCTATTGAGCTGTTCAATAAATTCTAGTTATCTATATATTATACAAACTTGAAAATTTAACAGAAAACAATATGCTTATGATAATTATGATGCAAATATTCTTGTTGTTGTTAAGTAATAATTAAAACCTTAAAATCAATAATTTTAACGTAATTATGGTCAATATTCTTCCCATACCTACTTTACATCTTAAAGTTACGGTGAATTCTTTCCAAGAATTGTGGAAAAGATTTCCGTGCCTACTCTATTTCAAGATTTTCTTTCTATAGTTGTAAATGACTGAGTTTTATATATCTAAAGTGATGTAAATGCTTTAATAACACGTAGTTCCCATATGTGAATTTTTTTTCTTCCCATTATTGTAAAGTAAAGGAAAAGTATTTTTACTCCGTTAAGTAAACAACATATTGTGACGAGACCCACATGAGAAAACACGTAACACCTAAATAAAATTACATCTTTAATATCAATTATCTTAATTTTATTTTGTAATTTAATTATATTGTAGTATATTGTTATGCTATGCTATTTATATACCATATTTTTTCAGTTAGATTTCAGTGATGGAGGAAATCATGAATATGTTTTCCATACAAATATCGATAAGCAAAAGCAAACAACTATTGTTATGTTATGTCCAATCGATATTATAACTCAAAATAAACTTTTGTACAGTAAAATCAAGATAATTGAGGATCGTGTACGTTTTTTATGATAACTTTCAAATTGAATGAAGATAAAACAAATAGAGGCTTGTATTTGTAGTGTCTTAGAACGAAATTTCGTCTTCAATTGTGCTTGGTCCTGGACGTCGTCTAGAGAATACAGCTACTCGATTTCTTATAGGTGTGAATGTTCTCTCATTCCTATCTTACATCTTAAACTTATGGTAAATATTTTCCATATATATAATTGTGGCAAATATTTCAACATCCCATTGTAAGGCTTTCT